TGCTTTTTTATCAAAAAATTTGTTCTTACAGCGAGTTGTTTTATAATTTCTTTTGGAAAACTGAATTTCATCACATAAAACACTTTGCAATGTTTGTTTCCTTCTGAGTCAAACATTTTTGAGAATTCTTGTGTAAAACGTTTCAACTCGGGTTCAAATTCTATAGGTTAGACGGAAAACTGTTTTTGGTGTTTTGTATCAGTGGTGTACCTCTATGAATCTAATTTTGATGAAGTGGTGTTTTTACGAGTTCTGGTCCTATAATTAAAATTTTGATAGCTGTGACAGCGTTAAAATTCAACTGAATATTCAACGTCTGTTCGTCTGAAAGCCATTAGTGGTCTGTTTGGTAACAGATATGACTCATCCGTAAGGTATGGATTCAGCGTATTTTGAAGTGATTCTGCTGTATTAGTTATTTGTGTAAACTACGTGAGTTATTTTTTGGTAAGTTCACGTTATTGTTAAAAATTAAATTGATAAAATTTCATTGCTCACTGATTCCAGTTGATATTCTTGAGTATTCGCATAAAACTGTGATTGTATATTATGATTTAATTGCGCTTAGATTTGTCTTACAAGGAGTTTCTGATGTGTTTGCTGTGGCCTTGATGAGTTGATACAGGGTTCTAAAATATCCGGCTGAAAAATATCATCTTGTTGATCTTTGTCATTCTTTGGTATTTCGGTGTTTAGAATTGTTTTGTTGATGATGTCAATGTAAGTATTTTTCATCTTTTGAGTAATTTGGTTGGTTTCTTTTGTATTCTCTTTTGGGTGGGTTATATATTTTTTTGAAAAAATGGATAGCCCTCGGGCAACCTGTTCAAGTTTTTTTTTCTCATTATTAAGAGCTACGGATAAAGTTATTGGATTTCTAGGCGTTTGCTGATTATAATTTTGTTCTTAAGACTGGGATTGTGTCGCAGGGAGTGGTCGTGCTGGTGGATTGCTAACAAAATTGTTTGTATAAAAATTGTACTTATGATTTGCAAAATAGTTTTCATTTGTCTATTTTGGTTTTTTTGTTACTGGTCTGTATGTTTCAAAATCCATCTTCGAGTTTTCAATAATATAAGCCAGGAGCATTCGAAATTCTTTTTTTGATTTCGGTTCATAATTTTGTTTAGTTGTCTTCTATATTCATAAATGTTGACTTAAGACTGACTTTTGTGGAATGCCCTATCACAAAATATTGTGTTCTTTTTCAGAGTTGTGGTATCAGTAGCTAAAAGGAAGACTTATTCTAAGATTATATACCGAGATGGTTGCAATTGCTGCACTAGAGATATCATTTGGTATGTTAGTAAATGAAACCTGAGACCATTCCGGGTCTCATACATAATCTGTGTCATCTGCTACTATTGTTTTGTCATTGTGGTCTAAAAATTTTTCTTTATTTTGAAAAGAAATCTAGATGTTGTTGGAAATAACTGGATATAATAAATACTTGCAGTGAATTTTGCCTATATGGGAATTGTGCTTGAATATTTCGGTACATGGTTGATAATTGTAAATTGCATTTACTATGCTATATGGAGTTGATTTTCTTCAGCTGTTTTTGCTTTCAAAATGTTTTTGATAACTTTTGGTCTTTGTTCTTGTATTGATGGACGGCTTTATTTGGCGCTTTATGTTTTGATGGTCGGTTTGATGTATCTTGTTGTTTTTGTATACATTCAGCGATAATTACCGACATTCAGTCAATTTTGTTTTTTCTCTGAATTATTCAAATTTAATGATTATTTGGGTAATTTTTTTTCCTAGTTCACTATCGGAGTCTTGAGTGTTATTTCGGACCTAGTTGTCTGAATATTTTAAACATACAGTAGTTCTAAAAGTTAAATTTTTTTGTTTCAATTTTGCTTTTGCTTGTTCTTATTTGTCTTTAAGTTTCCGGAAACTTATATCCGGTTCACGAATTGATGTTGGATGTGATGCTCTCTTTCTTAAAGCTTTTTTTTCTAATTTTTGTGTTAAAGTAATCCTTAGAAGGTCTGTCCTTATAGTCGTGTGTGTCTAAGGATTATGCTTTTTGTATCAGAATATTTGATCTCACAGCGAGTTGCTTTGATAATTTCTTTTGGAAAACTGTGAATTTCATCACATAAAACACTTTGCTTTGTTTGTTTCCTTCTGAGTCAAACATTTTTGAGAATTCTTGTGTAAAACGTTTCAACTCGGGTTCAAATTCTATAGGTTAGACGGAAAACTGTTTTTGGTGGTTTGTATCAGTGGTGTACCTCTATGAATCTAATTTTGATGAAGTGGTGTTTTTACAAGTTCTGGTCCTATACTTAAAATTATGATAGCTGTGATAGCGTTAAAATTCAACTGAGTATTCAACGTCTGTTCGTCTGAAAGCCATTAGTGGTCTGTTTGGTAACAGATATGACTCATCCGTAAGGTATGGATTCAGCGTATTTTGAAGTGATTCTGATGTATTAGTTATTTGTGTAAACTTCGTGAGTTATTTTTTGGTAAGTTCACGTTATTGTTAAAAATTAAATTGATAAAATTTCATTGCTCACTGATTACAGTTGACATTCTTGAGTATTCGCATAAAACTGTGATTCTATGTTATGATTTAATTGCGCTTAGTTTTGTCTTATAAGGAGTTTCTGATGTGTTTGCTGTGGCCTTGATGAACTGATACAGGGTTCTAAAATATCCGGCTGAAAAATATCATCTTGTTGATCTTTGTCATTCCATGGTATTTCCGGTGTTTAGAGTTGTTTTGTTGATGATGTCAATGCAAGTATTTTTCATCTTTTGAGTAATTTGGTTGGTTTCTTTTGTATTCTCTTTTGGGTGGGTTATATTTTTTTTGAAAAAATGGATAGCTCTCGGGCGACCTGTTCAAGTTTTTTTTTTCTCATTATTAAGAGCTACGGATAAAGTTATTGGATTTCTAGGCGTTTGCTGATTATAATTTTGTTCTTTAGACTGGGATTGTGTCGCAGGGAGTGGTCGTGCTAGTGGATTGCTAACAAAATTGTTTGTATAAAAATTGTACTTATGATTTGCAAAATAGTTTTCATTTGTCTATTTTGGTTTTTTTGTTACTGGTCTGTATGTTTCAAAATCCATCTTCGAGTTTTCAATAATATAAGCCAGGAGCATTCGAAATTCTTTTTTTGATTTCGGTTCATAATTTTGTTTAGTTGTCTTCTATATTCATAAATGTTGACTTAAGACTGACTTTTGTGGAATGCCCTATCACAAAATATTGTGTTCTTTTTCAGAGTTGTGGTATCAGTAGCTAAAAGGAAGACTTATTCTAAGTTTATATACCGAGATGGTTGCAATTGCTGCACTTGAGATATCATTTGGTATGTTAGTAAATGAAACCTGAGACCATTCCGGGTCCCATACATAATCTGTGTCATCTGCTACTATTGTTTTGTCATTGTGGTCTAAAAATTTTTCTTTATTTTGAAAAGAAATCTAGATGTTGTTGGAAATTCTTTGCGAGTCAATTTTAATATCAAGTGGTTTCTTTTTGTCCTGTAAAAGATCTCTAATGTTTTAACGTTTTTGTAAATTTTTTCAATCAGATTGCAAAACTTTGATTAAACTTGTTTATTGAATATAAAATATACCAAAAAAAATAAGTACAAAGATTTGATGATTAGTTTTTATAGAATTAAGTTTATCTTTGCTTTTTGAGGATTTTTTTATGATTGTTTTTCCTCAATTAAAAAAAAGCGTTTTAAAACGACTAATTTATTTTCAATTCAAGATCATCAAAACCTTTCTTGGATCTTTAACCATTTTTATATCATTAAATTTTCAATTACGTTTTATCAAGGATTATTCTTCTCTAAATGAAATCCTAATTTTATTCTGTTACGCCAGATCACCAGGGCTACCCTTGGATTTTTAAGCATCGATCCTACTTATAATATCCTAAATCCTTTTTCATAACTTGTAATTTCATTTTAAAAATCAGATCATCAAGGCTTTCCCTGGATCACTTATTTATTTTAACCCGCTCTTAAACTAAAGACTAACAACCTCAAATGTCGACTCAAGTTTCAACCCTTTTACACGTACCAGGTCTAATTGATTTTTTTCAACAGTTTAACCATTCAAACTGGGCTAAACAGTGACGAACATTGGTTAATCATCCTCCTAGGCATACCTACCTCTTTATTAACCCAGGTCAAGAATAAAAACAGAAATTATTACATCTAAAATAGTACCTAATGATCTACTTGTGGTCTTAATATACAAGAACCGTGTGGATTGATTTAGTGTTCTCCAATCCTCGCTCTCATATCAAACCCCATTCAGAGAAGATCAAATTTATTTAGGTGTAAAGAACGTCATTTTCCTTCGAGAGCAGTGAAAAATCAATCTAAGTAATTGATGTCATCTCTCCCCAAAGCGTCTTACCACGACAATACATCCCGAGGATTACAATAGCCTAACAAAAATTGTAGAAACTAACAGTTTTCGCTTTGTTTTAACAATCGGTTGCTTGTTTCTAATCTAATTTGTTCATTCTGTTTACCTTTTTCAATTTTAAATTAGTATAGGTCTGCTCGAGACTCGCTTAATTGAACCAGATGAGTTTAAGTCCGGGGTGACTTTCTCATTTAGTATTTTTGAATAAAGTAGACTTTATGTTCGTCAGACTATCGTACTTTCGGCCGGATGTTTTCTTTGTCTAACACCAATCCTAATCTTACTATTATGTTTTTCTAGTTTCAAAAGATTTAGTATAAACTGTTATTCTTGCGAGGTTAGAGGAGAGGAAGAACAACTGTTATCTAAGTTGATTAATTCTTTTCTAGCCTTATGATTTTTTGTAAGTTTTAGTCATGGATCATGATTGGTTAATTGTTACAGTTCTTGCTTAAGTATTTTACAGTGATAGTTATCAAGAACGTAACTGGATATATTAAATACTTGCAGTAGAACATATTCTGTTTTGTAGTAAGCCTGGGACTTCTTCTGTTTCTTTTTTTTGCTTATTGACGTAGGGTTTGTTTTAGGGCCTCTTCAACGGGTTCGATCACGACACGTCTTTAATACACGACTTTTACAAAAATACACTTCTAAAAAGCCAGATTATTTTTGCCCATGCTTCGCATCGGGCGAGGCAAGCAAGCTCGATAGAATGGAAAACAAAGCAAACTGAAATTCTTCAATGGTTTGCGTACTATTTTGAAAATCTCCGAAACATGTTACCCTTATTCAATGTCACAGACCTCAAGGAAATTGATCTGTATTATCTGCTGGACTTGTTTTTCTACGGTTACTGCGGGGTAGTACACACAAAATGGTTTTCAATTGTCCTCCCGAACCATGCTGTCGCTCTCCTTCAAGATAGGATGAAGCAAGAGCCAGACATAAACAAGAAGCAGGGTCAATGGGAGCCCCATTAACAACGAATCCCAAATGAGTAGTGACTAGCCCCGACTGTTTGACCATTTGGCAGAGCAAAATAATGAAGATCATAAACTGAAGAACTAAGAAATCGAAACCACATCAAGTAATTCAAATTGATTGAGTTTCAGATCTGTAAACATTTAACCACTATATATTAAACGACGCTACCCAGCTCGGCCTCCATAGCTGCCCTCTATTCATACAAGTTTCGTAAAAATTCACAAAACTAAACTTTATTTTGAGAAAACATTTAACGATAAACGATAAACGGTTTCCCAGAAAAAAAAACTTTGTCCTGCGAACCCAAAAGTTGAAATTTGTTTCGGTTTTGTAAAAACTCAAAACCTTTTTATAACTTTTTTTAGTATTCCGGGCATCGAACAAACTAATCCAAAATCTATATTTTCCAAATTTACCCTCTAAAATTATCAAGCTTGATATTTCCACTTAATAACTTGTACAATAATTCATACTGCAGGTTGGGCTCAAAGAATTGAATAGCCATCGGTTGCTAAATAGTTATAACAAAAAAGCATTTTTGGTTGATAGAAAAGAGCTAGCTATGTCAAGTTACCTAAATTAGTTAACCCGTTTAGCAAAAACTTGTCAGTTATAATATTGCTAGCAAATGATAGGCATAAACGTCATTGAAGGAAGGTAATGAAATATATGTTACTAAATGGAAGCAAGGACAAAGGTTACAGTTGAAGTACGCAAAAATTAATACAATTATTTATAAGTCAGATTCGCCAAAGAAAGATTCCTGTTTGTTGAAAACAAGTATTATAAAAAAAATTGTATGAGATTTGGTTTTTCACTGATTTTTTAGACGATCGCTGTCAGGGCAGTAGCTTAGGGTGACTCCTTGATCAGGCGTTTTCAAATATGCGTTGCGAGTTGTAGGACAAACTTCCCTTGTCGACTGAGTATTGAGGGCTATTGGATGGATAGAAATGGCATGCTGGCACGCGCTCTCTCGAGGAGAAAAAATTTGGTGTGAGGGCTTCAGCATCATAAGGCGAAAATGAAACTGTAGTGATGTGTCTTGCATTTAGGAAGTGTTCAACTTAGTAAGCGTTTTTTCTCTTAGAATCTGGTTTCCTATGATGGCATAGAATGAGCCTTTTACTGATCTTATGAATCGTTCCCATACCCCTCCAGAAACAAGAGCAAAGGAAGGGTTGATTGCCTATTCAATCTGATGGTTGGATTAGAATCGTAAGGTTATTTGTACCGCTGAACTGCGGTGAAATTTGTACAAATGTCAGAAACAATTTCGGCTGGTTTTCATCTGCCTGCGACGAGTCATCGTAAGGTACTGATTAAGGCTTCGGGTGATTGGTCCTGGCACATCTCAAGTTGTACGGCTCGTGTTGTTGGGCACGTCAATATAACACCGTAAAGCTTGATGTAGGTTCCTGCGGTTTTCAAAGCGAACGGTCCAAAGAGATCTACTCTTGTTTGTTAAAATGTTCGTTTTAGAGCTGATGTCAATCCTTCGTTTTTTTCGATTGAACTTTCCAATTTAGTTTTTGTAAGCTGTTTAAGGTTAAGGTGGACCACTCTAGCTTTGTTTGAAAAAATGCGCTGTAGTAGAAAAGTGAGCTGATCAGGGGGGGGATCGTTCCCATACCCCTCCAGAAACAGGAGCAAAGGAAGGGTTGATTGCCTATTCAATCTGATGGTTGGATTAGAATCGTAAGGTTATTTGTACCGCTGAACTGCGGTGAAATTTGTACAAATGTCAGAAACAATTTCGGCTGGTTTTCATCTGCCTGCGACGAGTCATCGTAAGGTACTGATTAAGGCTTCGGGTGATTGGTCCTGGCACATCTCAAGATGTACGGCTCGTGTTGTTGGGCACGTCAATATAACACCGTAAAGCTTGATGTAGGTTCCTGCGGTTTTCAAAGCGAACGGTCCAAAGAGATCTACTCTTGTTTGTTAAAATGTTCGTTTTAGAGCTGATGTCAATCCTTCGTTTTTTTCGATTGAACTTTCCAATTTAGTTTTTGTAAGCTGTTTAAGGTTAAGGTGGACCACTCTAGCTTTTGTTTGAAAAAATGCGCTGTAGTAGAAAAGTGAGCTGATCAGGGGGGGGGGGGGGGGGGGGGGAGGAAGGGGGGAGGAAGGGGGAGGATGGGAGGAGGAAGGGGGAGGTTGGTGACCCCCATGTCTTGAGATCGGTGATAAAGCATCTAGTCAGCAGCCTATCTATTAAGATAGGGAACAGATTTCCTATCTATTAAGATAGGGAATAGGTTTCCTAATGTAGTAAGATAGGGAATGGTAAGGTTTCAGTGTGATGGTAAGCTTCAAAAAATTTTCTCGGCGCCTGATCTTACCATGTTTTAGAATACTGTTTGGATTTTTTATTTGTTAATGATAGACAATCAAAGTAATGAGATCAGTTTTGCCATGATACGAGGTTTGAGATGGTAAGATGGTAAGTTTCAAATAGTTTATGGCGCCCAATTTTTTTGTAGCTCGGTCTTGCCAATACTTGCGTTTCTTAGCTAACTCCTACGATTTGCGATATGTATGGGCTATCTTTTTATAGAAAAATTTGATTATGTACGTTTTAGATAATGAAACTCTTAACTTTTTTGAAAATTTTTTAAGTTTTACTTGCAAATACATTTTAAACTTGAAAAAAACTACTATCGTAAAAAATTGAAAAAAAAAATGAATGGTAAGTTCCAGATGGTAACTTCCGACTAAATTAAGTTTTGATTTAGAATATTAAAATACAGGATTGTCACAGAATAATTTTTTTTTGTCAAAAAAATCTAATAAAAACTTATTTCATCTTATTTATATTCCATCAGGTTATCTGCGAAAAATTGACAAGCGGGGATAATGTTTGTTAGGTTATTTCTTCCGCTCCAAGGTATGTAAGGGGAAATTGGACAGCTCCTCACGGTTGACTCCTTTTATATCCCACTTAGTTTTTTGTTCCCCAGATTATCTGGAGAAAGGATGACAGCTCCATTATACGTATTAGTTTTATGACATTTTAATCTTTTCTCACATAATTATCATCCAAATTTGTGAATTGCTCTTTCCCGGTAGCAATTTGCGCTGAGAAAGATATAGTATCAAAATATTTTTGAGTCTTATGTTTTTGTATGATAATTTTTTTATCTTTCTCAGAGTAAATTTTTTCGAAAATTAAACAATTCACTAAAAATTGGTTACAATTTTTGTAAATTTATCTTTTCTAGCGTTATTTTTTTTCAATTGGGAACTACAACATCCATATTTCCTTAGCTTTTTCCGTGTATTTCAACAAATGGTTTGTTGCTAAGATGCTTCGTGAAAGAAAAATTAAGGAGTTTAAAGAGTTAAATTACATAAATAAAAAAACAGTTCACTGCATTTTATAGTAAACTTACTGCATAAATTTACACTTGAAATTTAAACAAATGGACTATTACATAAAATTACTGATAGAGTTGAAATCATGCACAGCAAGAAATTTATTTAAATTTCTTTGTAAGATTTCTCAAAAAAGAAGTGCTGAATGAATTGCGTAAAACCCACACAATTTATCAGTTTTTTGTAGCTTTCGAGAAATCATTTGCCAAATACAATGATCTCTTCTTAACCAAAAAATCCGAAAAGTAGTAAGCTTTTATTCATTCGAGCAATAATGATCCAGTGTTCTCTTCTATTATTGATTGGGCTGAGTTGATAATTGCAAAAGAGTATTTTGTTAGCTTAGGTACTTCATCAGATGGGTAAGGTCTCAAGTACTTGAACATGAGCTCAGGAAATTTTTCGATAATTTGCAACAGTTCGATTAATGACTTACACGCCTTTAGGTATTGAATCAACAAAGTCCTGTACACAAGCTTGATGTAGTGGGCACAGATTATTAAACACTGATTTACAGTCTAGATTGAATAAATGTCTCGGCTTTTCAATTAAATAGTTTTCATTATCTAGTTTTTCTGGAGTTTCAGCTCTGAAGAAAAACAAAATAGATAGGACGATAGATAGAGACAAAAACGGTGAAAATTCCAAAAACAAAAACAATGTTTTATAGGAACCTGGAAATTTTTTTTATAATTAACCATTTTCAGCAACTGTTCCTTCCTATCTTATCAATACTTGCCGTTACTTGCTCCTATGAAAATTGGAAAACCAATTTTAATCCGGAGCCTTCACCACTAAGTTCTGGATAATGCAACTGTTCAGCTGCATCCTGTAGTAAAGTCAAGTCAAAAGCTAGAAAATAGTGATGGAAAAGAGCTGAAAAATCTTCGTTAAACTGCATTGCTTTCACTGTTGCAACATCGGGCCGACAAGGAGATGTTGTATCTAATGAAATAATTGCTCTTCCACCCTGATTAATTATAAACTCTCTCAAATTAAACTGCTGATAATTGAAAGAATTTTCATAAAAAGATCCCGCAACAGCTGAATTTATATTCATTAAAATCTGATTGGCACATTACTGAAAACAGTTTGCTGAAAAAAATGGTTTTGACGAGATGGAATGATAAAGGTATAGTTTCCATAAAATTCCAGATTCCCTTGCAGGTGTTGATGATTAGGTTCAGCTAGTAAAACTCTTCTAGTGAACAGCAAACTTTCGACAGTTTTCAGGCTAACATTTGGATTATCAGACAGCATGTAAAATGTAGGTCTATCTCGAAGTAATTTTGTTAGTACTATTTTGGTAGTAATATTTTTCAAAACTGACTCTTTATCAAAGTCTCCAAAGAAGAATTTGTAAAAGCTCCGTTTTAAAAATGACTACTTCGATTTAATTTCATTTTGCTTTGTTAAAAATGTCTTTGCTAGAGCGAGCGGTTTTCAAAATACTTTCTCGAGAAAGGGCTGTTGTACTTCTACGCTTGGATGTATTTTTTTTCCACGTCCCAACTGTTTTTGAACTGTTTTTGTTACAACATCTTTTGCAAAAGTTTTGACATTGTTTCGTCCAATGACAATTTCTCCGATCTCTGGAGCAGTAACTTCAAATAAATCTGCTCCCAACCTTATTGCAGCTGGGACA